TTAAGATTTTTAAACATTATTCATCAAGGCCTACCATTGCACGAAGTTTCAAAGCTTCAAGAGCTTTACTTTAATAATTACGCTACGTATCCATGACAGCTTTTGCACAGTGACAATTTTCGTTTTCACGAAGTAACACTCAAGTTCCATTTACCATTGCAATGCATGGCGCGCATTCTGCTCAAATGCGAGCAAAAACTCTTGTTGTTTGAGCGCGCGCGCGCTGACCTCCGTTTCCACGAAGTAACAATCTTCTAGTGTTGTAATACTTTGAAGCGTGCTACCTCGTGAAAACGAAATTTTACAGTTTCGCAGCTTCTTTGGTTTCACGAACTAGCACTCATCTATTTTTCTCTTATTTCTTGTTGTTTTAATACACAAACGGGTCAAAAACAGCAAATTTAATAACATCAATACATCAAGTGTCTACAACGAGAAACTCAACTGAAAATACTCTGTAGTTTTGATGCAAAGTGTTGTTCTAGAAGGTGTTCAACTTTAGATGCCGTTTTCTCCGATTGCTAGTTTTTACCGGTATGTACATGAGTGTTACTTTGTGGTGTCAGTGACGATATGTAAACACCGGCAATCGTGGGCTAGCTAAGGAACAAAAGGGTTAGGGCACGAACAAAGGGTCCACGAATGACCGATAGAGTGTGCTATTGAAATTCGTGTACAAAACCAATGAGAGTTGTTGCTAAAAAGTAAGTGTTCAAACAAAGGAATGAGGATTAGGGACAATAGGGGTCCACAATTGCCAGTATTTACATGAGTGCGCTTACATATTGTCACTTATAGGGTACTGGGAACAAAGGGCAACAATGGGGACAATTAATAAGATTCATAAGCACTAGGGACAATGGTACTCCGCAAGTCTGTCTTTAGAAATTGAAGTACCCCATAACTGTAACGCTTTGGGTTTTGAGATTTCTAAGGAGACAAAGGAGAACAAAAGAAGGGGATTAGGGTCGAACAATAGTGGTACCCCATAAACCCCATATGCTAAGTCTGTGTGTCTGTGTGTGTGTGTTTGTGGGTTGGGTTGTTTGTTTGTTTTTAACTATTCTTGCGTTCTTAATGAGCCAGTTGTACATTGTTATCTTTCCTGCTACAGGTAAAGTTCATTCTTCATACAGGCGCTGTCAATGCCTTCAAAGTTGAACTTTGCTTTAGATGGAGCAAGATGGACTTGGTAAAACACGGATCAAACCATATATGGTCGTGCGAAACATTTCCACCGTGGGATCAAATGTACCACTTCCGGTACTATTGCATTCCCAACAGCCCAACTGTCCACCAAAGGACAGAATCTTTCAAACAGCTTCCTTCTTGGCCTCGCCATGTTCACCGAGATGTTGTATCAGAGAATCTCCCTGCTGCCTACTTTTTGGGCCTGGTGTTTAATCTCCAAGAAACATATGTTGGAATCGATAGCAGTAACTTTGAAAGGAGGATAGCTGAATTGAGGCATTTGCTCTACCCAAGTGGTGGATCTAAACTGGATCTCCAAGAAAACCTTCCGGTGCATAAAGACGAACTGAAAAAGAACTCTTTGTTGTTATTTGTCTTACAATCGCTTTCTTCCGCCACCTCGACAAGTCAACTTACGTTTCTGTGCGTTCTCGTTGCCTATCTAAGTTACCACAAACTTGACTCAGAGTTAGATGTGATCAGTGTATTCGAGGAACCCGAACTTCGTAAACTTATCAGCAGTCTTCACAGAGCTCCACGCACCACTATTTCGGATCGCAATACCGATCGTAAGTTGAAAGCCCTGGTGCCAAAGGTACTTAAGGAGCTCGGAGAACACCACTGGCTCTATGTTCTGCTGTACTGTTATCCTCTCTTTGATAAATATCACATATTGGATAACGCATCAAAGTCAACGGATAGACCACCCTCAAATCAGTGTATTACAGGCACTATTCTCCCTCGTTTAAAGGAAGACAGCACTGTTCATGAAAACAGGCAACTTATCGCAAAGACCGAAGATGTACTGGAACGCCAGCAGAAGCATCAACGTGGCAGTGAATGTAAACAAGAACCCGTGAGTAACCCAACTTATATCCCGTGTCATAAGTACATGCAGTGGCGTAGCCAGGAATTTTTCAGTGGGGGGGGGGGGGGGGGGGGGGGGGGGGGGGTCGAGGGGCTGGAACATTTCATGGGGGGGGGGGGGCGTCATAAAGATCAATGATAATTTTTTTCAGAAACTAGAAATCTCTGTGGCGCGGGGGGCGACAAGGTTTCATGGGGGGGGGGGGGGCTGTCCCCCCTGGCTACGCCACTGAGTACATGTATAGAGTCCTGTTTCCAGAGGCGAAGGGTGTTCATCAATGGGTGTAGAAGGGTATATTCCCGAATATTGGGGTAACAAGGGGAACACTGCTCAAACGAGACGACACTCCCCAACCCTTCATCACCTCACCCCAGTTAAATATTTCACAATAGACTGTAATATATATGCATTAATCAAAACAGTGGTTTGTTTCTGATAGGATTCAAACATCATACTGGATCCCATACTCTATAATACTAAAAAAAATATTTGTTTTAAAATGTAACGTATAAATTGATTGTTTTCTGTTATTGAAAAGAACCAACACGAGGCTTCAACAACCGGTGACACAACAGCGCTTGCCACAGAATCTACGGACGGAGATATATCCACCCCTTCTGCAGAAAAACCACACATGTCAACCCAGAAAGTGGCATCTTCAGAGGCAAAGAATACTAAATCGACAGTAAATAATATGCACAAATTTTAATATATGATCTTTCTCCTAATTTGTTGGCATATTTATCCAAATTTCATGGAGTAATTAAGCACATAAACTATAAGTACAGACACTATTTGATTTAAAATGTCATGCAAATGACTTTTGGTGATTTCTTGTCATTTATTGTTGCTTTATAGCAAAAAACGTCGCTAGCATTAGACAGCTTGGGCCCTCTCCTTGACACTGTCTTTTTTTCACTTTCAGATGAAGGACAATGATACAAAACAGGAGACAGCGACACTGGATGAAGTGAAAACGTCTGAAATGGATTCAGGGAAAAGGGAGAGTTCAGTAACTACTACAAGGAAATCACCATGGGCAAATGACAGTCTTGGAACTCCAAAGTTTGCTGAGGAATGGGTAAATATTGGCAGTTTTATTTCATTGTCGTGATGTTAAGCATTTGCAAACGTTTGTAATGACTTTTCTCACGTTCATTATAATGGGTGGTACATGTATCAACTTATACTGTCCTCAGAAAAATTAGTGTCCGGAAAACACTAGGGTTTAGACATTTGTGCCCTCTGAAAAACATGCTCTTATGCATGGAGCATGCACCAATACAATCGTTGCAGCAACTTTATTTTCATTTTCATTTTCATCTTCTTATTTTAGACTTCGCACCAGTTTACTGTGCTGCTTGAAATTGAAAAAGTGTTGGACGTTCTACTCTACCTGTACGAGGATGTTGGCCAAAAACCGCACAAAATGGTGGTTCCTATGGCTTTTAAGCCCTTGAACACAAAGCTTACCAAAGCAGGTTGGACGACAGCTTTTTCGGAAGTTAAACTCCCCACCTGTCGAGCGTATCGGTATAAATATACCTATATCCATGAAGGCAGCCTCCGAACACTTTTCAGACAAGTAGAGACAAAAGAGCAGGAAGAAAGAACAGTTCAGTCAACAGTTAATGAGGATGTATTTGTAGACGCATCATCGTCCCTCGAAAAGGTATTCATAGGAAGGGTTCTGCATGAAATTGGGCGATGTAGTACAGTTAATACAAGAAACCTAGCAGAGTTACTCAATAGCGACCACGCCCATGAGCTGCACACATTAAGAGGCAACATCCAGGACCCACAAACTTTGAAAGCTGTGCAGACACATATCACAGAGCTTATCGACAGCAACAAGTCGGATGCCCAAAAGGTCTTCCTCGCACGCCTGCTGGGTAATTGCTGCTCAAAAGGGACATTGCCTAGTGTGAAGAAGGTTGCGAAAGATATTTTGCACGCCTTTCAAAGTTGTAGAGAAGGGATGCGTCCATTCCTAGACCATCCTAAAAACAAAGATTTGATGGATGATCTGCTCAACATTATCATGCATTCTCTGCGGAATGTTCAAGGCAGTTGGCTACACCTGGTCCAGTACACCTATCCTGAATTCATGACCGCCGAAGATCTGTGCAAGTTGCATCAGAGTTGGAAGAGTGACCCTCATGCAGCTGATTGTCAACTGAAACCAGTGCCGTATGAAGACCTTCTCTCCTGCTGTTGTACCAATTATGCCTCAGAAGATTCTGCTGAGCTCCTCTGCCTCGTGTTTCAGAGCAACATCCCTGTGAAAGTGCTCCTACGGGTGTTGAAACGACATGGGCAATCTCCAGTCTTCAAAGACGATGCTGGGTACAAAAACTGGGTAAAAAGCACTCTGGAAGAGCAAATACAAACACTCAAGAAGGAGAGAGTTGAAGGAATCCATGAAGTCTGGAAAATGGTTGCTGAAATGAAAACTCTTACCTTAGAACTACTGACGAGAGAGATAGTTCTCGAGGCTCTGACTAAATTTGGCGAGTGGTCTGTCAATGCAGCAAACAGTTGGTTTTCGGACGTTACCTTTTGGGAAACATCTGACGATGCAAACCTATCTGGCAGTTTCCGTACCATCTTAAAAAAGATGTTGACACAAAAAAATGTGCAAGATGGTATCGACTCCTTCCTTACAGTCGTATGCAAGAGCTGGGTCACCAAGTGGTCAAGCCTTGAAGTGCTTGAGAAGCTAATTGATCATGGCTTCTTAAGGCAACTTCAGATAGAGTTACCACCTGCTCGTCTCCTGCCGAAAGTGTACATCTTCCTGAGCACAGTTCACTCCACCAAGTGGCTTGAAGAGTTACCAGAGCTAATCAAAACTATGGACGATGAAGTGAAGAAATTCATCAGTAACAAAAACCAACTTAGCAATCTCATAGGAACAGTTTTCAGGAGTTCACTTGGTGATGGAAGCGAAGCCCACAACCATAAAGAAACAGCACTGATGACGGGGCATGTAATCTGGTTGATTCAGAGTAGAAAGATGCCCTCTTATAGTGCTTGTAAACTGCTATCGCCACATGCACCGTACGGCCAACTATGCCTGCGCTCAAAGTAAGCATCAACTTTGTCTTATTAACAAAATTACAGTTTCCATTTGATAAGAAGCTTTAATTGCCTTTGATTTTCCTTTAGGAAAAGGGTTTTTTTTAATGCAGATAAGAATTCATTTGTTGGAACTATTTAAGCTACAGCAAACTACTGAGGAACTACGGGCAGCATCACAATTTCATCACATTTCAAAATCACCAAATTGTCTTACAAAATGTATGTTAAACTCAAAAGTATTAGCATTGATGCAATTAAACACAAAGATAACCGCATGATCATGAAAATATATGTCGATGTGATGATATTTCTATTCCCCTTTAAACAGGCCTGTTGCAGACATCATTTCAGCCATTGTTGAGACAGTATCGGAAGATCGATATGAAGTATTCAAAGTTCTTGATGACTTCAAATTTTGGGAACTCATCTTCCAGGCGAAAGGAGAAGCTGCCTCAGAAATTCAGCATGGAGATAATTTCCAAGCCGTAGTCCAATTACTAAATACGGTACAGCAGTCTTTTGTGGAAATGTCTGTCTCGGTTACATTTGTCCAGAAGCTGGTTCAGGCAAATGGTTTGGACATGTTACCAAAGTTGTGTCAAATGGCAACTTCTGATGGAGGAGGAGAATCTACCATGTGTGACCAGTCATTCAAAGATGCATTGGAAGTGATCAACAGACACATATGTGTCTTAAAGAAATGCGAACAGTTTCTGGCATTTTACGAGAGATTTGCAATGAATATCTGTCAAGACGACTTAGAAGCAACAAGGAAAGAAATTCATCTTCGCTGGCAAGATATCAATTCCGATAGCGACGTGCAATTGAAGAATCTCATTGCTGAAGATTACTGGGGTGTCTTGGAACCAGTTTGTCAAATATCTGAAGCAGTTTCTACTATTGCACCCTCAAAAGTCTTCTTCAATATGTGCCTTTACATGGTAGAGGGTGAAAGTTGTGACACTGAAGAGAGAGAACCATTACAAGTCAACCCATTTACTGAGCTGGTTTCAACAAATTGCTTGCCAAAGTTCAGAAGTCTTTCTTTGGATATTGCCCAGGGGTGCGAGGTTGTAATAGGTGATATCAAAGGTCCATTTGAAGGGGTCTCTGAAAAAGAACTTTCTGGCGAGTTGGATATCATGTCACGGTTCATTGATAAAACTATCGATGGCCAATCGAAGGTGTTTCTAAAGAGTTGGGTGAAGCTGGAGCGCATCAGACAGTATGCCAAACAGTTGCAATGTCTTTTCCGAACATTCGAAGTACCAAGTAAAGCTAGTTGTACTCTTATCGGGGATGTTGAGAAGCTGCTCAGTATATTTGAGCCTACGAATGCTGAGACGCCATTGCAACAGGTACACCTTGCAGTAACGAGAATTGAAGATGTAGATCGCAAGTTTACAGACGAAGACTGGCGAGCGATACACGAACTGATCAATTCTGAACAGTTAATTCAGTTCCTGAGGCCAATCATAGATGACGATCTCCGAAATCTTACCGATGCTGTTGAAGAGAGGTCCGATTCTTTCGTCAACGAGTCAACGGTGTCGGATCTTATTGAAGTTCAGCGTTACATGGGATCTTTTCTGCGGGTCGAGGTTCTGGACACACCAGAAAAGCTGATAGAGGCCATTGCAGAAAGTAGAGAACTTGGCATAAAGAAAGTATCAGACAAGATCAAGACCTGCAACGATCATTTCCATGCTCTGAAGAACTTGTACAACAATATTGCACAACGGGGAGAAATGACAAAGAAGATCATCCGCAATGCCATTCATGGTGGTTCTTATACCTTTCTGTTGAAAGAGGGTGAAGAAGTTTGCAATGTGTCTATGAGCTACGAAAGAGAAGATAATTCTTCGGCAACATTTGAGAAAGATGAGCTGAATGACTTGCGGAGTAGAGCTTTACTGATGGTGAACTCAAGAATGTCTTATCAGCCCCACAGCCAGGGAGAAGGTAAAGAAGAAAGTATGTCCAAACTGCTTGAAGAATTCATATACTGTGTAGATGAAGTGATTGAGATTGTTGACCTTTGTTCGGGACTGGCCAATTCGGGTCAATATCTTTTCAAGAGCTTTCAAGAACGTGTCACCGGTTGGGAAGACCTCCTCCTCCTCAAGCAGGATTTGAAGACAAAGTTCGACTGCTGGACTGAAATTCTCGAGTTAGCAAGGGGTGAATACTACTTCTTGAACTTCTACCATTCGAAGCAACTATGGATGCTGGACCAGTTTTTCAGGGGTGAGATTGATGACAACGTCGAAATTGTCAATCTTTTTCACTATGTTAGCCCAGGCATAAGTGTGGGCAGTCAACTGATCCAGCATTATGAAGAACCAGAAGACCTTGCTGACGTCAAGGCTCGTGTGTTTCAAACAGGCAGGGCTTTAGATAAGATCTTTTCCAACTCGTCATCAGAACCGAGGGATATCAACTGCCTGAAATCAAGCCAGAAAGCATCAGTCGACAACACAGTCCAACCCGGTAATGTGTATGTCGCAGAGCTGGACACTAACAGCACAAACTCGGTTCCAGTCCTTATGACTTTGCTGAAGAACACAACAGGGAAATACCCTCAAGCAAACCAGGTTCTATTTTGCCACCCAGAGACGGCTTGGGATGAGGTTTACCTACTGTTGCAAAGATGTCGCAAAGCATCAAAAAGAAACTCCAGTGCCCTCTACGCTCTCATCAATGTCGAACAGCTAACAACTGAATTCCAGTTTATGTTGGTGGATGAAGTAAAGGAACTCCAGCAGAATGACAGAGCTTTTCTGTTGGCTATCATTTGCTGCGGAGGGTGTCATCATCACATCATTGACCAGTTCTCTCCTCATTACACTCATCAAATTCAGGGAATGACTACGAACGAGATGAGAGACTGTCTAGAGCAGGGATGTCCGAATGTTGAAGTAATCACATCTGAAGTGCCTGGTCTTGGGAAGTCAGAGTACATTGCTTGTAAGGCGGCAGAGAAGAGGGAAAATGCCATTTTATTTGAGATTGGAGGCCCTTTGACGAAGACCGATCTGGTACGACAGCTACTCCAAAAGTCCCCCTCTGAATACCAAGCGCTGCACATAGACATAAGATCGACGTCTGATGTGAACCTAGTGGATTCGTTCATATTCGAACTCTTGGTTGTTGGCATGGCTGTGGCAGGTACACATTTGTGCGAGTTGCGATACAGTAAAGTCTTCATTGAGATTGCAAATGCTCATGAGCATCATCTTCGTGACTCTCTGATAAACTGCTGTAACTTTAAGAGGCACCACATAGAGTGGGACAATTACAGTAGTTTCTTGGTGAGTCAGGAGGCCAATAGCCCAGTGCAGGTAGTGTGCCACTACTTGAAAGCTGTCAAAGATGGTGCTGTTGACTCAAAGGAAATACACTTTACTGGGCCCTTGAAAGATAAACTCCTCTCCGATGACCATTGCAGGCAGCTACTAAGAGATAACTTCTCGCCAACATCAAAAATGGCATTTACCACCGTCAACATGTTTCTTAACGTCCTTGCCACAGAACTGAAGAAGATGTCAGCATCTCACTATTTCACTATTGAAGCTCTACGGGACATGTTAGGGACAGGTCCACATTGTGTGCGGTCTGATCTTTTCAAGGCCCTTGAAGCAGTGGCACGAGAGTTTTCGTCAAGATCGGTTGAGTCCAGTGGAAAACAACCACTGACTGGTAGAGATGCTGCTGAGGCTTTAAGCGAACTTCAAGAGGGTGCATCTGTTACTGCAGAAAAGATGGTAGAGCGGGTGAAAGGCATGGTGCAGTGGGCAGACAGTAACCATCTGATGGTAGTCTTTAACCAACAAGACACACAGACCTGTTCAACCCTTTATCGTTTGCTTAGCCAAGTTCCTGACAGCGTCAAGAATCTATTCGAAAACCAGCTCGACAGTAAACTTCCAGACTACCAGCTTATGTCACAGGCTGAGCTACAAACAGTGCTAGAACGAATATCCAGAACCACCCGTGATGAGTTTGATAGAAGCAAGCTTGGCCACTTGAATACTATGTATGCTCTGACACCTGACAACATGATGAAGATGGTGTTAATTCACATGAGGGTTAAGTCACGAGTCCCAGTTGTCATCATGGGTGAAACGGGATGTGGTAAGACCACTCTTATCACCTATCTAGCCCGGATCTGTGAGGTTCCTTTCCATGTCCAGAATTTCCATGCCGGCGTAAGTAAGGATACAATCATCGACTTCATCGCCAAGATCCGAAACATTGCTGAGGCCAACTTGAATCAGCAGATATGGTGTTTTCTAGATGAAATAAACACATGCGATCACCTTGGGCTACTAAGTGAGATTATCTGCCATCACACCTGTCTTGGTGAGCAACTGCCGTATAACTTGGTGTTCCTTGCAGCCTGCAATCCCTATTCACTGCGGAAAGGGAAGTTAAGCACGTCTGGGCTAACTGAAAAGCTTGTCTTGGACGAGCAGTCGAAGTTAGTGTACAGAGTACATCCACTTCCAGAGGCTTTGATGGATTATGTCTGGGATTATGGGGCTCTGAATGCAAAGGATGAGGAAGCATACACAAGACGGATGGTCAATGACATCAGGGAGGATCTGATTCCTCTCTTTGTTGACCTGTTGATAATGTCACAAAATTTCATCAAGAGTAACATGGAAAACAAGTACTGTGTTAGCCTTCGTGACATAAGCCGCTGCAAATACCTTGCGAAGTGGATGACAGAGATGCTGAATGAGAAAGGTCTTGCAAAACTTCATCTTCCAGGCCATGTCTTTGACAATGACTCCAACATTCGAGCTGTTGTCCTTGCTTTGGCTCATTGCTATCACTCGCGTTTGTCGTCAGCAGAGGACAGAAAGAGATACAGAGAAGAAGTGGCACAACGTTTTCAGAAGAAGCATCACAACGTGACTGAAGGGCTCATTGAGGAAGTCATCAAGACTGAGCAACTTGATATTCTCAACAGAATGGAGCTTGAGGAGGGGATAGCCAAGAATGAGGCACTGCGGGAGAACGTTTTTGTTGTCCTTATATCCATCCTCAACAGGATACCAGTATTTTTGGTGGGGAAACCAGGTTGCAGCAAATCCCTTTCGATGCAGCTTATCAGGAGTAATCTCAGGGGACCAGACTCAAAAGATAAGTACTTCAAGACATTGCCAGCCGTCTATGTCGTTTCCTATCAGGGATCTGAGTCATCAACTTCGGAAGGGATCATCAAGGTCTTTGAAAAGGCAAGACGCTACAAGGAGGCCAATCCGGACATCATACCAGTTGTCCTCCTAGATGAAATAGGCCTGGCGGAAACTTCCTCATTCAATCCACTCAAGGTTCTTCACAGTTTGTTGGAACCTAGCACGGGTGACTTCCCTGAGATGGCTGTAGTTGGAATATCTAACTGGGCACTTGATGCTGCAAAAATGAATCGGGCTGTTCACCTGTCCAGGCCAGAGCCAAACGAAGCGGATTTGTTTGAGACAGCAAAGTCAATCCGAGATGAGAGTACACAACGAAGAGCTTCTGAGACTGATGCACACAAACCGAGAGATGACCAGCAGTTGAAAAAGCTAGCCAAGGCATACTATGACTACCAGCATAAACAAACACATGCCAACTTCCATGGCTTGAGGGATTATTATTCTCTCATCAAAAGTATGGCAATGCCACCGAGCACACAAGAAGGGCTAAGTTCTTTAGAAAGTGGACTTCGTCGAAACTTTGGAGGAATTCGATCAGATATGCCAGACATCATGAACACATTCATGGAAGCATTGGATGTTGCTCAAAACCCTGAGAGGCATCCGTCAGCTTTAGACCTGATCAAAGAAAACCTAGAAGACAAACATGCCCGACACCTCATGCTGATCACAAGTGGAGACTCTGCGCTGAGCATCATAGAGAAAGTATTGTTTGAGTTAAACAAGAAGCCCATAATACTCCTCGGAAGTAGATTTGATGATGACGTATCAGAAGAATACAACTACCGTATCCTAAGTAGGATCATTCTGTGTATGGAAGAAGGCTACGTTCTTGTGCTCCGTGACTTGGAGAATGTGTACAGCAGCCTGTATGATATGCTGAATCAGAACTACACAGTTGTGGGCAAGAAGAGACACTGTCGTGTGGCTTTAGGGGCCTACAGCAACCCGATGTGTCAGGTACATCCAGACTTCCGTTGCATAGTCATCGTCGACCAGCAGAAGGTCGATTACTCAGATCCCCCCTTGTTGAACAGATTTGAAAAGCAGACGCTCACGTTTATGGATATTGTCAGCGATGAGCAGAAGCGGGCAATAGACACCTTGCGTAGGTGGGTTGAGGACATATCCACAGTAGAAGAAATGCAGTTTACTCCAAGTGAAGCTTTCTTGGGTTATCATACTGATACCCTTCCTTCTCTGGTTGCTTTTCGCTGCCAAGAGATGAGTAGTCAGACTATGGACTTCAGAGAAATTGCAGACACCTGTAAGCAAGACCTGCTGAAGATTGCGTCAACTGATGCAGTTCTACGAGCGACAAAGTCACACTTGGCAATTGAAGAACAAGAGGAAGTACTCTGCATCCAAAAGAAGTACCTAGATCTTCCACTTAACGGTGGACTAAAGCATTTCCTTCAACATGCTATCTTTGAGCAAGCTCCCTCTGCATCCTTAGTGGATGGTGAATTCCAGATACGTCCATGTAAGCTGATAGTGTATACTTACTGCACTATTCATGTTGACTTGGACCAATGTATTGATGGTCTGTTAACAATGCAAGCTGCAAAACTGAGTCAGTTCAAATCAGAGAGACAGCTTACAGAAGCACTTCAACGATTCGTCGAGAGCGATGATCAGCTTTTCATTCTTCAGTGCAAAACATCTCTAAACGCACAACATATGCTCTTGGCCAAATGTCAAATTGACAAATGTTTGGAGGAGTATACAAAAGCTGGATCTCCGCAAGGACTGAAGCACGCTTGTTTTATAGTCCACGTAGAAAGGGATCAGAATATTGGCGGAATGACCACGACCTTTCCGTGGCAGTTCAACTTCCTGTGTGGTTGGCAACAAGTCACAGTTGATTCACTGGAACAACCAAAGCTGCAAGTTGACGAAGTTATCAAGATGTCCATCTCCGACATCTGTGCCAAGTCGGTTGACATTGACTCGGTCATTAAGGATAAGCTTCTGTGGTGTTTCTCTTGCATCTCATACGACCATCGGTCAAAAACTGTAGATGAGATCCTCCAATTAATTAGAGGGGTGACTGAGTGTCCCGAGTTGCTACAGTGCCTGTCAATGAAAATCTTAGATGACATCAAGGAAGAGGTTGTTGACGGATTTTCCATTGACAAAATGAGCTGGCAGGTGGCTGTTGCATGTGAGGTCGAACTACTGTTTGAGTGTGCCAGTTTCATCCTTGCACTGATTGAGCATGTGAAACGTAGAATTAGCCAGCCTCTCTTTAAGATCGTGTTCTTTCTTGAGGCACACAATGCATGGAACAGTTACTTGAACCGAGAAGAGTGCCAGATAGTCTGGGAAACCATGCTCATGAATCCAGCAGTTTGTGACGTTCGGTCAACATCCCTTCCAGATCCAAAAGGGATTGAATCATGCAAGATCGATACACCTCCACCTGCGCTATGTTTTCCTTTTTTCCACAAGCTCTACACCATCATTGAGGAGCACATGAAGTTTCTTCGGGCAGATGCAGTGGCAAAGCTTGTTGCAGAACAGTCTTTTGTACAGTCCGAAGAGATGGTTGTCCAGTTGACCAGCATCTTAAATGGCGGGCTTCCGGAGGCTATCACATACGACATGGCACAGGTTATTGATAACGAGTTCTTGTTGCAGCACATCCAGTCCTATCTGAATGACTTATGTAATGTCTTCTCAAGCATGTATGTGAGCCAGATGTCACTTGACATGCGCATCAATACCACAAAGTTGCTCGTACAGCATCAAACGTTGGGACTTGGCGAGGTGTGCTCAGCAAATGAAGAACTGTCTAAGTGGCATATTGCTCTCCTCATGAATTCTGAGCTTTTTGCTGCCCAACTTCAGCTTTTGAACATTTACCATCTGGCTACAGGCAACGATTCCGTGCAACTGCTATTGTCAGTTCTTGGTACCAACTGTAAGAAGAGTGCGGTAAGCATCTTAAGTCTAGAAAACGGCTTGGATCCTCATGAAGATGAGCAGAGTGAAACATCGGAGGAGTTTGTGGCCGCCAGTGATGAACTGCTAGATGACCTAGATTCTGACAATGAATCTTTTGAGTCGGCACTTGAAAGTTACTATGGGGAAACAGATGATATGGCATCATTTGGTGGAGAGACTGAAGAAAGTTCACTAAAATTCCAACTGGTCTTATCTGTATGCCAGTCTTTGCTGCCAAGCACAGGTATTCTTGAGAAATTCAGCGGTCAGGAATCATGGGTGCGGTTTGTCAACAACATTTTGTTATCTGCTGCAAGTATTGAGGTTCGGCCCAGGGAACTCCATTACTTACACTTTTGCAAGGACTTTGTCAACTTGATCGCCTTGCCAAGTCATCTTCCAGATCATTTTCTAGCTAGACTTGGTGAGCTGATTGTCACCACCGAAGAGGTCAACGTTTTGGACAGCGAAAACATTCTCAGTTTCGTGGAGGAGACTATCAAGTTCATTCAGCAAGAGAGCAGCAGCCAGTCTGATACAAAAGAACACCACCTATTTCTTTCCAAGTATTTTGGTCGTTGCATCGAAGCAAATGTTGAGACTCCTTTGTTGAAGGACATCTGCAGATCTCTGGTCACTGATGATGGAAGTCTCATCGAAGGATCACGACTGGTGATGTGGCGTATCATAAGAAGTGAAATTGATGATACAGACCAAGATACAGTGTTCACAGAGCTCATCAGTGACGATGTGAATCGAGACAAACATTCGGACAATCTTGTCATTTTAGACGACATGCTTCAAAACCAACAAGATGGGCTGAACTCTCATTTTGCAACCGTCTGCTGTGATTTGATTGGGGAATGTGGCTTCTGCAACCTAACAAGTCGAGGTTTGATGGAAGGTCATTCTGGTTACAAGACCACTTCCATCTTTGCAAGCCGAGTGTTGGCTACTTCCACTGCATGTTCGCTGAAGTTTGTTTGTGCGTTGGCATTTCTGAGTAAGCTGTTCCGTGTTTTTGCAGAGATATTCACCGACAACAGCCGTTCTGGGAACTTTCTTCGAAGCGAGACTGCGTGTTCCCTTATTCAAGAACTCAAAGGTTTGGCTGATTTCTTAGGCAGCTCTGAAACACCAGTCGATGTCCATAAGTGGATCTTGAAGTGTATGTTTCATCAGGACATCAGTCTGTTTAACCTGAGTCAGGCAGTGTCTGTTCTCTCAAAGTCGGGCGTGATCTTCCAAAAGATCCATTACCAAAGTCTTCTTCGTCCGGTTATTGGTTACAGCCCCATGAATTACATGGAGAAGTACAGTGACGTGAGAGATGCATTGGCACAGCTTCATCGTCAAGATGATAAAGCTGGAATGAAGGCTGTCATCAGTAAGCTGGAAACCTCCCCAAAACACCGCCTTGCACTCATGGCAGTGCTTGTCGATTTCTCCTACCTTGTCTCAACAACACGAAACCTCAGTGACTCTGAGAAGTGTCAGGCTCAGTGGATCATCAAGGAAATTGAAGGTACAAACCTCCACAAAACAGCATGGTATTGCCTCATGAGAGGTATTTCAGGGGTTTCCGACTTCAAAGGTATACTGCAGCTGTCAAAAAAATCTGAAGTGCAGGATGCGCAACTGGCCTCCGTGCTAATGCACCTTGCCACTGTCATACTAGGTTCTCTGCAGCCGGGTAAAGAACAGGGTATCTTTCACCAGCTCTTTTCATCACAAGCTGTGGCCAAGAAAGGGACCTTTTTCCCGGGATCACAGAAACAGTCTTCAACTGAAGCTGCACGCACCAGAACAGTGGTCTGCCATTGTGGACTGCAGTTTGTGCAGGATCTACGGTATGAACGGTACCAAAACTGCCCAACTTGTGGTAATTTGATATTTGGTAATACAACGCCTGATGGGAATGTAAGACAACACACCCAAAGGCCAAGTGGATACAGCTATCCTCCTGTACTTCAGTTGTGGAATACCCTTCAGGGAAACAAAGACATGTCCATTGCATCGCAATTAGTCACTGACTTCATGGTTCATGGGTGTCTCTATCTTGCAGCTGAGGTATTCCCAGATGATTTCAAGAAGGTTTCCTTTTGTGAGGGTAACATGTTGGAGGCCAGATTGCTGGAGTTGTGGTCAGTCTTGCCATTGGTACTAAGAGCAAATAGCCAAGACACCGCCGTGCTACTTCACTGCATCATAACGGAGTCTTCTGATGTTTTAGTTTCTCCACAATACACGGGTGCCTCAGCTTCCGTCATAAATCACCAAGAGATGGAAATACACAATGTTGTTGAGAAGGTACTACAAAATTCAACACTTGCCAAACGTCAATTTTTCGAAGATTCGTTCAACATGTTTGGTACACCAGCTGAATCGATTAATCACCACATGCATGAGCTGGATAACATTGATGAGAGTACAAGCAAGATTTTACCCAGATCATCTCGTAAGAAACGCGAGCCATCACTTGAAGACCTCCGAGCATGCTTCTGTAATCACAGCAGCAACAACTCAGAGCGCTTTCCCTTTCTCCATCTTGTACTGTCACGAAACAATGCTCTAAAGTATGTTGCCTTCCTCCCTGCCTTGTTGAGATGGAATTTGCTGGTGAGCAGTCACATGAACCTTCAACGAGCCACACACAAATATGGCAACAAACCCATCAGGGTTTTGCTTGATGCTCAGCCAAATATGTCCGAGCCTTGGTCAGATTTTAAGGAGGCATTCAACGAGGTCTGTGCCACGTGGACTGAGCTCACTGGTGAAACGACCCGTCCAGACGACATCACACTTGACTCCCAGATCAAGGAGTGTCTCATTCCAAAAGTGACAGAGGAAAACACCTTGAAGCGAATGATCAGGACTCTTCAAGAAACGCAGAATTCGTTTTTGATGCAGGCACTCAGTATTGCTGCAACCACGGACTGTCCAGCAATCAGCTTCCTCGTCAAGGACAGCCATCTTGTTGCTGCTCCAACCAAACCTCTGAACCTTGTGAGAAGGAAGGATGTAATTCTACCCCCGTCTGATGGATGTCTCTGTTATCACGACATCAACACAGAGTATGGACATGGTACGGAGATATATTATGACCTGAACCAGATTGAGATGGAGGTGGCATTAAGCACTGTACTGAACAAAGTGATCATTACTGATGGAAGCACCTTCGAAGGCTTCATCTTTGCTGATGACTTGTACAGTTCATCAACTGGCATTCTTGATGAGGTGGCATCCAAGGTCGGGCAAGAACCCTTGCCAAAGGACATTGTCAATCGGGTCATTCAAGGGGATAGAAAACGGTATGGTACGTTTACAAATGACTTGCTTCAAACGGTAGAGGTACTCATGGGTCTTCTCAAGAGAACTAGTGGTGACCCAGAGGCTACATTGGAAGATTTCATCAGCAAGTGGAGCTCAGTTTTCTCAATTCAGTCTGCAGACCTGCTAGGATCCATCAAGCTAAAGCACATAGTTGCCCTTTACCACCGTTTGGAGGTCCTTCTGTCAGCTGCTGTCATTCAGACCCTTGGTAAAGAATATCGTACAAAGCTCCCTACAAAGTCTGAGCACGAACTAGACAAATGCTGCTCTGACTATCCTCCGGATGTTGTCACTCAGTTCAGAGACATCTTGAAGAGGTTCGTTTTTCGCTACCTCAGAGCAAGACGGGACTTTCACCCAAACCGCAGCGAACGACTTAGAGATCTTTTGGGAGGAATGGCTGGATATGACCGTGTGATCCCTCTTATTCACAAAGACACTCAACTTTGCCACATCGTGAACCTCTTAGAATATTTGGACAAGACGATCCAGGTATGTTGCTAACTTTTTGAACAGGTTTAAATTTAAACACATTTGAAGTTTTTAAAAAGTAATTTTGAAGATGCAAAAATCAGAATTCTTTAAAGGCAGTCACTTCTTCTTCACTACCCGGGCTATTTCAAGATCCGTATTGCCTCTAGATGGGCAATGAAAAGATGTTCCAATTTCTTGTTACCTAGAGAGACACATCTGGACAGTCATTTGTTGTATGAAATGTGATAATTTCAAACTTCTTGGCATCTTATCTCTGCAGCGTAAAGAGGAAAAAGCAGTGAAGGGAAAACGCAGAGGAGCGAAGAAAGCAGCACCGTCAGCTGGCTTATACTGATGCGGTCACAAGGGTAATTTTACAAATATTATGTTGTTACAGCATCTGATTCAAAAGAGTCATTCATGTATTTATCAATGTCAATCACACAAACTCCAGGTGTTTTAATAGCAGCCACAGAGAAGTGAGATACGTTCATTGGTGTAGGAAGGAGGGGCTTCATGTCCACCCTCCTTTAGTTAAAGAGAAATGTCGAAGCATCCCAGCCGTCCCCATTACTTTAAGATATATTTTCTGACCTAAACTATTTTCTAAAATCCTGCCTTTTCTGAAAGGTGCATGCACATACCTCCCCACCGCCCACCTCCTCGCCCAAATCTCTGATTGGATACCGGTATGTCTTGCTTTGAACCTCTTGGACATTTTACACATAACCTCAGAAGATTGTATGTACATGTATGTATGTTCATTCATTTCTGTTTTGTCTCTCACATACGACTTTTCCTCAGAACTTGGCACAGGGTACAAAGCTACCAAGAGATTAGGACCGAGTATCTACCAAGTTGCCTTGGAGTAATGACTAAGATGCTACTGAAGACTGAATAGTATCCAGTTCAATTTGTAGAATAATAAATGATAATAGCTTACTTGGACTTGACTTGCACTTGGACTCTAGTAGACAAGATGTTGTCAAAATGCAACACTGTTAATATGCCAAATAATATTGTCACTTGAAGTAAACAGTCATGCAGATGATGGCTTGTTAAACATTTTTACTATAACAGGAGAACATGTAATGATTTAGGCAAGTGCAGTTAACATAGTTGCTATGCATGACAGTGACTGATTAATGTTAAAGTGTTATTGACTTTCTAAATTACAGCAAATGACACCTGAATTCAGGTTTTTCTTTTTTAAGATACATCAATTGGGAGATTTGGAAAGAGGCCATGCGATTTATGGCTCTTAAATCTCAAACTGGAAGTTTCAGTATACTAAATGTTTTAAGTAGTGTTAGATGTGTTAAGCCCTTCCACAATAATTATCGTTTACATGCCTGTAGATAATGGCTGTAAATACTGAGTATTGTAGTTTGTGATTGAATAGGAGACCATGCAGTTGGCGGCTCCTCCTTCTAGTTTGTGATTAAATCGGAGACCATGCAGTTGATGGCTCTTCCTTCAAGTTTCAAGTTATATACATGTATTTGTGTTTACTTCCAGCAGATGCTAGCTATATACGTTCATGCATGTACATACTTATTAATTAATACATCTTATTAATTCAGACTTTAAGAAATCCTATCTTGTGCCTATAGGAGGCCATGCAGTTGATGACTCCTCTTTCTGTATTGAAGTTGCAACTTTCTGTGTTTTGGAAAGAAGTGTAAACATTTTGAACCAATACACTGTCCTTTACAGGCATGCTGACGATGGCTGTATACATGCATTACCTTTTTTTTTTTTTCAATGATGATTATAGCAGATGATACGGTTTATTACTTAGGGCTATGTGATTGAATTGGAGGCCATGCAGTTGATGGCTCCTTGTTGTTGAAGCTGCAAATTGACATATTTTTGTAGGTAGTGCAAATTTTTTTTGCCATAAAGGTTTTTCATAATAGCCTATCAGTCATGCAGATGATGACTGTATATCATTTAGTAGAGTGAACTCTTTTCAAGTCTTTAACTTTTAGTATCCTGAAGATGATGATTGCATTTAAGTATATTTTCAACAAATAAGTACTTTGTCAGTGACTGAATTCGAGGCCATGCAGTTGATGGATCCTTATTCCGTAACAGAATGAAACAATTTACTAAACATTTTTGTAAGCATTGTTAGATGTATTCAGCCATTCCAAAACTACATATAGATAGTCATGCAGATGATGGCTATATATGTAGTGAGTACAGTGTTTTCTGGGATTGCAACTTGCACATTTATTCTTTCGGGATGTAATAGTCATATTTTTTTTTAAAGGAGACCATGCAGTTGATGGCTCCTCTTTCTTGTGAAGTTGCAGTTTGACATTTTTTTGTGCACCTGCAGTGCTGGATTTTTGTTGCCATAAATGTTTTCCATAATAGCATATCAGTCATGCAGATGATGGCTGTATATTAAGTGAGTACCGTGTTCTCTGTGATTGCACTTCGCAGTTCTATTTTGGGATGTAATAGTCATAAACTTTGTATCTTGAATAGGAGACCATGCACTTGATGGCTCCTCATTCTTGAAGTTGCAATTTGCTAGATTTTTGTAAGTAATGAGTAGATGTGTTTTATCCCATTTTTTCATACTAGCCAGTCCAGTCATGCAGATGATGGCTGTATATTACGCGAGTACAGTGTTTTCTGTGACTGCAATTTGCAGTTCTATTTTGGGATGTAATAGTCATAAACTTTGTATCTTGAATAGGAGACCATGCAGTTGATGGCTCCTCATTCTTGAAGTTGAAATTTGCTAGATTTTTGTAAGTAGTGAGTAGATGTTTTTTATCCCAATTTTTTTTTCATTCTAGCCAGTCCAGTCATGCAGATGATGGCTGTATATTATTTAGAAGAACAAACTCTTTTCCAAAGTTGTTAACTTTCGATACCCGTGCAGATGATGGCCGCGATTGATGGATCTTCATTTTGTAACACAAAGTAGCAAATTTACTAAATATTTCTGCATTGGTGTATGGTGTCAGCCATTCATCAATAATAATATACTCAACACTGTTAACGGAGCACAGTGTATTCTGTGATTGAAACATAGTGTAAGTAGTTTGAGATGCCTACCTAGTCATGCAAGTAATGGCTGTATATTGCTTATAAGTCATTCCTGGATTCTTTAAATCCATTTAATAACCGAAGCAATCATAATTGGTTATGTGATTAAAAACGAGGCCATGCAAAAATTGCTGATTGCCGCTTATTCCGCGATGAGGTATAGAAATTGACAAATAATTCTTTAAGAACCGTGTCTCTACTTCTGCCTACACAGTGATGCAGATGATAGTTGTGTAGACTTACTGTGTAGGGTAACATTTTTATCATTAAGTGTATTGTAGTTAAGTCTTTGGTCTACTTACTCATTGCCATGCAGTTGATGGCTGAGGGGTTTTTTTTTTGGGGGGGGGAGGAAGGGTCGGATGTGCAGACCACATTCAGCAGTAATACAGTTTGAGATAGCTGTATTCAACTCTTAATTCATGATTTCATAATTATTATTATTCAGATAAGCATGAGGCCATGCAGTTGATGGCCCCATGACGTTGAAACGTATTAGCAGTGTTAGACGTGTGGCATAACATTTTAGTGTGATGTATATTGTAAAATCTGATGTTTGTTGGAAGTAGCAAGCTTTTTTATGACTTTGCAGCCATGCAGATGATGGTTGCCAATATTGAAAAATTATCTCTTTAATGTGAGACAGTGTCAGAAAAAGGGATGTTCATTACACCTAGGCTAAGCAGTCGCGGTCACTGTTGTTATTTTGTTTAAAGCCATGCAGATGATGGCTTCATTCATTTATGGATTCATTGTGTGTTTAAAAGTCATGCAGTTTGATGGCTTTTAAATTCTTCTTAATGTTTACGTCAGCCATGCAGTTGTTGGCTTTCAACTTTTTCTTGTTTTCACAATTGGTTTGGTCATGTTAAAGTAATAGTAAGTTAGATGTGGAAGAAAAGTTGTAATCCGAAATATGCTCAGAAAGCATTGTGGTGCACAAATGGCTTATGATCATGAAATCTAATGACATTCAAGTAACGGTTTACATAAGAATCGAGAAATGTTTTACGTGAAATGCGTTAATTATGCCGTGGAGTAAATGGCAAATTTACTTAGTTTCCCCTTCCAATTGTCATGAACATGATAGCTAAAACAACATGAACAAGATGTTGTTTTTTTGTGTATTTTTGTGGTTTCATGTTCTTTCTTCTGTTTATGACATTAGATGAAGGTTGACATATGTGGGCGACTTTACAATATAAACTGGGTCATGAAAAAAAAATAATGTTGAAAGTAAAGTAAGTATTCTGATTTTTGTGTGATTACAAGGCCATGCAGTTGATGGCTACTTTGTGATGTTTTATTTGACAGTCATGCAGATGATGGCTGTACCTTTATGTTGGGATCGTAAAAAAATATTAGTTACATAATATGTTGTAATAATGTTTAAGAGAGAATTTATAAGTAGCGGCAGTTTATTCTGACACCTTTTTGTATTTTTTCTCAAACAATCAAGAGGCAAAAACAACTACAATTAGCACAGATTGAATCGTTGGATTGAAAGTTATTAACCAAAAACCCGTGGCAAAACATGTTTGAAAAATACTACGTCAAGTAAAAAAAAAATCATATTATCTATACACTGAAACAGCAATTTATGCAAATGAAAAAAACACAAAAATAAACAACTTTGTAAACATGGAGGATACTGACAGGATCACAACAGGCGTACGCGTAGGCACGGATTTGAACGCATTGTTAAAACTTTGATACATGTACCATTACTTCAATTTCAAGAAATTGAACGATTAGTTTGGTTTCTTGTTCTTATCTGGTGATAAAACTGTGTAAACCACTTGGTGTCACTAATATAATAAAATTCTTATTAAGCATCTACTTTAATTCAAATTGTCATTTGCATTTGTATTTCATGGTTTGAGGGCCAATTAGCCCATAAGTTAATGTTACAAGTGCAAATATCAGTGTATTTGCACTTCTAGTGTACAGTGAAATGCACAATGATCCCTTTAAAAGGCACCTGAAATATTTTTGTAGTTGGCTATGTGAGTGGTATGTGGGTGCAGATAATAATGGTTTATCAAATAATTAATCAACTTTACAGAATGTGTGTAATGTTAACGTGGGATTTTGCGAGATTTGACAATCTTGTGTCCAACTCCCGTTCCGGAAACAATCGTTCTTGAATTTCTGACAAAATGTCACGACCCCTAAATTGTCCTGAAAGGTGAACAGCAAGCAAAGTAACAGTATTTAACCGATTAAATTTGAAGTTTCTCAACAAAGCGGATTGGCAACACTGCACGATGAGGAACATATTGAGCCAATACCTAAAGGGACTGCTTCCTTTTTTTCAAAACTCCTGGACACATTTTTGATTTTCTTTCTTTGGCCTTATACATGTACATTCTATCACTAACCAGTCCCAAGCCATCGTGATGTGTTGGCTGTCTAGAAATAAAGGGATATGGTGTGTGTATAGTGCCGGCAAGGCCTCGGCTGGGAACTCTGAGAACTACGATCCGCTGTATGAAACAATTACAGATATCGGCTACCTTCATTTATACAAAGCATACAGAGCAGTGGCGTATCCAGAGGGGGGAGGGCAGGGGAGGCACCTTAACCCCTTGCCCTGGGGGATTTTGGTAATTTTTTTCCAGTACTATTTCCATAAATAGTTAGAGAGTTCAGCCTAAAAAAAAAGGGAAACTAAGCTCCAAAAGCATTACATGCACTGTGAAAATCGGCACATATTTTAGTGTGCATAATAATGGTAAGTTTTGAAGAGCGCCCCCATTTCGAAGATGTGTAACAGGCTTTTTTTTTCAAGCAAAATTGCATGAGATAATTATTACATGTTTACTGATGGTCCATGATCGAAAAAAAACGGGTAGCCTCGTAAACATCGGCGTAAAAAAGTTTATACCTCATCAATAGGAAGGAAAACGATTTCTTGATATTCGTTCGAAAATGTAAATTGTCCATTGTATTGATAAATCCGATTTGTGCAGCCTAAATGAACTAACGTGCTAACGAAGGCGAACACGACGACGTTGTCATCCCCGAAGTTTCGACCTTATACCGATGTTATACACTGTACAATATTGGTCAACTGAGGGCGCTAGTCACTCGCAACAGCAAGGAATGCAACGGAATTGCAAATGATCTGCCTGACTTTGACAAAGATACAAAGATGAATTTCGAACATTAAGTCACGGTCAAGAATCACATCTTTTTGTTATTAGTAACATGCTGATTCAAGAATATCGATGTTGTCGGGTATAGTCAGTTTAGCTTTTCCTTTCATCTATGCCTAAAGACAGAGGGAGGTGGCATATCATCTGAAACGTTGATCGGTTAAACTCAAATTAACATTTTATCAAATTAACCTTTCTACTTAGACTTTGCTACTAGAGCGTTTTTATTCAGCGGCGTAGCTATGGGAGGCATACAAAAGTTCGTGACCCCAGTCACCCCCCCCCCCTCCCTCGGTAATTTGACATCGGGGAAAAAGCAAAGCCGTATGGGTTACAATGGTTAACTGAAGGTCATAAAGTCTCTTTTCCGCGATTATGTGCGTATTTTTTACTAGACTTGATGACAAGTCGTGAGATATTGTCGCATTTTCCCCCTGAACAGTCGAACTTCATCGGCACGGCTGGTATAAGACTAGTACGTAATTGACCGGCGGGTTGCGTTAATTATGTATGTCTGTGGGTAGGCAGCATCATGTGGTCTGGGAACCAGACTACCACATTGCATACAGCGATCGATATATCTTTTACGTGCGTGGAGCCAGTATAACTGTCCACTTAACAAATTGTGACGTTTCGAGCAAGAATGTGGACTTAGCTGCTGATTGGTCAATTTAGCTGTCAAGTATTTTTGTAATACAACAACGGCGGTGCACCGCACACGCAGACCTGATAGAGGGCTCCCGCTGAATGTCAGAATCTCGAGGTCAAGACACATTCATTCGAGAATGTAAATTGTTAATTGTATTGATAAGTCTGATTTGTGCAGCCTAGCTAAACTGACCTGCTAACGAATACGAAAACGACGACGTTGTCATCCCCGAAGTGTCGACCTTAATACCGTTGTCACACTGTACAATATTGGTCAACTAAATTCAAATCAATTGAATATTTTCTGTTGAAATACCAATTTGGCGGTGTGTCGAATGCCCAATGGCGGATCCGGGGGGACGTGGCCATGCCTCCCTCAAACAAACAAAAAAAACGAACCGAAATTGTGTTTTTTTTAAATTGACGTCACGAAAAAGGTTCCACTCCGCCCACCGCCATAATTTCACCTAGTTGGTTAAAGTGGTCAGACATTGCCTCAGATCGCACCACAGAGCATCTTAAATCCACCCCTCCCCCCCGAACCCACGCTGTATATTTGTCGACCCTCTTTTTGGGCAGCAATGAAAGGTGCCCCTTTTTCTGGAAAGAAAGCCCTCTTTAGTGTTGTCCCCCCCCCCCCCACCACCACCAGTTTGAAAAGCGTTCCGACGCCTCCGAGTACAAAATAATGATTAAATGTATCGCAAATTTAACATGATCCCTGTTATGTACACACGGCGCGATCACGCGGCATTTCATCATTATCACGCGTTTCAAAGCCTGGGAAAAGTAATCAAATGAGATATCTTTGCAATCGTGAACACTATTCCTTACTTTCAACTTTGAGCTTTGACTTCATTAGCTTGTTTTCTTTGTCGGTCGAGGCAGCCATCTTGTTTGTCAGGGTAATGATCCCTTTGATCTGCTTTGGAGACACGGGTAGCATCGTATGAAATATTAATCGGTTAAACTCAAATATATAAAAACCACTGTATTTTAACCACGTTTATAGTTAGAAGGCGGATATAATGTCACTAATACATGTTGGCAGCCACTTTAAAGGCCATCATGGTGGTAAATCTGGGATTTTTACCAAAAAAAGAGTTTAATCTACTGATAGCTTTAATACATTGGTAAGCATCTCCCTGCATGCATTGTGTGTCAAGAAAAATGACTGCCAGACTGTTCAAATAAGTTAAATGAGGGTAACGTTTCTTTTGAAGCAGTCATCTCGGTGGCTACATTGTATAAAATATTACCTCGTGTGTAGATGGCATCCATAGTTTGGAATAAGCACATTTTGAAAGGCATGCAACCAATCAAACTGTCTTTAAACAATAAAATTAGGATATTTGGTCCACCACTGAGGTTAAATTGCCACCCTTTTGCCACAGCTTATACGATCACGACCAGTACCACCAGAACGGCCATTTTGAGAGCCGTATAAGATCAGGAAGCTGGATATGAAAGGGAGTATGTGTGCAGAATATTGACTGTCAATGTGGCGGCCATCTTGGATATCCCCATTACAGCTGTCGTCTTTGTAGTCATCTTGGATATCTCCATGTCTCTAAAGATGTCACGTTGGCAATATGGAGTTTTGGAGTTAGTCTGGTTCCCAGAACAATCGATTCTGACTTCCTTTAAGAGAAATTCCATCCATAGATGATCACCCCTAAATTAGTCTTGTGGCCCATCGCCATTTTGAAAAATGATGCCTGCGCTCCATTGCGAAATAGACAAGCAAGTTTAGATCGCAAAATTTCACAAAAATATACACAATCCTGTGCACGGCTTCCACCCATATTTTTTTTACAAACCTTCAAGTTCATGCCCCATTGAATGCTCTACTAGCAAAGTATTTGAGAGATACAAATTGTGATTTGGCCCGCGTAGGCAATTCTAGGCCTATTGATCTGCAACCGTATTGATGAACACACATTTATATGTCACAGATATCCAAGATGGCCAACATGTTGGTCCTCAACCCATTAAGAAACTGCGCATGAAAACGGTAAAAGTGAAACCAGGTATTCGTGTTTGCTGCTGGACTAAAACCAAATAGTAAAATACTTTGTCATAATTAAATAAGTAGATTAGTACAAAGTGTTAATTTTTTGTAAATTTAATATTATCTCTGCCTGTGTAAACATTGACGGCGCAATCACGCCATTTCACTCATTACCACAAATCGTGTACTTTATTCTTTGCATTGTAACTTTGAGCTTTGACTTTATTAGCTTGTTTTCTGGAGGCATGTGATCCAACTAAAGGCATTATATTCAAATTGGCTTATATTTGCACATTATGTATATATAGACCCTTATCTTACCACCAAGTAGATGTCTTCGTGGTTTAAAGCCAATAAATAGTGAAATAAATATTATTTTTTTATCAGCTAGTCTCATTTTGCCTCAACATGTAATTGACAATTTTCAATCAACAGGATCTCTTCAGCCAAATTTCTGGGTGTCATCATCGAGCAAAACCTTTCATGGACCGAACACATTTCTTTAATCACAAAAACCATCTCTCAAAACAGCGGCGTTCTTTCTAAACTGCGTTTCTTTCTTCCAGCTGCCTCTCTAAAACTCTCGTCAATTTTTCTAGACATTTACAGTTAGTTTTCAAAATAAAACCCCACCAGGCGATCTTTTGCATACAATGGATTTCATTTCGCTAGATGTTTTTTTTTTCTTTTGATAAAAGTGAGCAATTCTAAAAGCCGACTAAATAGTATTGTTTTAGTCAATTTTAATTGCTCGGGATACGTGGTACCAGACCTCAACAAACCTGCAAATTTTCTAAAATCGTATAGTTACGTACTCAATATATTTTAGAGCAGTTTTTGGACAATATTCAAACGCAGTCAATCAAGAGATGAAAAAAAATCTAGCTAACCTTCTTTTCACAAATCTGATTACTTGATAATCCCCTCTACCGTCATGTACAAGTATGAATGTTGGGGGAACCTCTTAAATTATATTTTTCTCGAAAACAAAAAGGGCCTAAATGTAAACCAACGACAACTGAGAAAAGACGGTTGTTTTATGAATTGCTTTTTCTACGTTTTCCGAAAATATTTTCAAACATTTCTTCGACAAATATGACAGTGAATGAACTCAATAGTTATACAATAACAACGGCTCCCAAATTAAGTGGTCTATAAACAAGAGAATATGAAGATATCTTTTTGAGTCGCATCATCGGTGTAAAATCGGCAGGCCCTCAATACGTGTGCAAATAACCACATGAGTCACACATGCGCAGTGGAAAGTGCGGCTGATACGTACATGGCTCCATGCCAGTCGCTGCTTAACCTACGATTTGGGTCCCCGAAAGTAAACGTATTGGTCTAATACGTTTCCCGTCTTTGATCAGATCGTTGAACATTTTCCACCATGAAGTGTGGCAAGTGCGGCGTCCAGAAACTGTCCCGTGAGTTCCCACCGTGGCCCTTGGGGGAATCCTGTGACCACGCTATTCTGCACTGTCTGAGGGTAACTATAAAATACAACTATTGACTCTGATGTATTGACTGTCCTTGCTAAAGGTGTGCTGTAAGGTATATCAAAGCTTCACAGCTAGGTTGCTCCTGGGTACGTAGGTGTTATCTTGTAACACAAACTTCAGGCAAAAACTTTCTAACTAAAGCAATATACTGCTGTGGATAGGCATGTCACAAACATTTATGTCCATCTCTTTAAGTTCCTCCTGTTTTTACAGTATGAATTTGATATCGTTTGTAATGTATAGGCTGATTATATTATCTTTTTCAAATTGGTTTGTTTCATTCCAATATTATTGCAGTGTGTGACAGCATATGCTGAACAACACGGGCGGTGCTCTCAGTGTGGAAATGAAGTCAGTAAATCTTCCAGTCGTCTGAAACGGTGCTACTGCGAACTAAAGGCCCTCTTTACCGAGTATAAGCCCACGTTTGTTCCCCAGACCGCAGCGTTGGCGTCTGGTGAGAGAGGCTACGTCAGTATGGCCATGTTGAACGGCGACAGCACCAGCGTGGAGCTGAACCCGTCCACGACAGTCTCCAGACTCAAGGAGATTGTCAGAGAGAAACTGGAGGTGCCGCTGGAGAATCAACAATTGATTTACAACGGCATAGAAATGGAGGTACATTATTAGCTAATCGAGTAACCACATCATTTTTGTTTTTTAGTCTGGATGCAATATTATTCAAAACGATTGACCCATAGACTACCATCCTTTTTACCTGAAGTGTATACATGTATGTATTCTACAGTGTTTCATTCTACTGTACTGCTAATCCTAAAAGCCTGTTATAAATCACATAAATGTAGAGTAAGGGATTCTATTAGTGAAGCATGCTTTTACAATAAGTTGCCATTCAGTCTGCGTTTTCTTATTGCATTGTTCTATTACATGTATTTCATTATTTTGAACAGGAATTCACCGAATCACATGCCCAGACGACCCTTGGCTCTTACAAGGTTCCCCCTAAAACGACCATCTACGTCCGTCGGCTTCTATACTCTGTGCCAGCTAGTCTGGACAAGGTTGTCTTCGACCTGAACTGGGGGTATCCAGCAAGTGGCAAGGATGCTCTCGACGCAAGTGTGCTGATCTTTAACGGGAAGATATGTGTTGACGTTCTCGACTACAAACGTAAATCCCAGCCTGCAATGCGGCATTCTGGCGATGTGATGAACGATGAAACTCAAACGGGTCATCATTTAATCAATGTCGATCTTCACAGCCTCTCAAGTTTAATCACTCGCCTGTTCTTCACCCTAAGCGCTTGGAACTCTCCCACCGTCTCCAAGTACCCTAATCCCAGCCTGCGGTGCTACGAGGAGTCCAACCCCGACAAGATGCTGTGCGAGGACTATATAAAGAAACTGAACCAGTCCCAGGCGATAGTCGTGTGCTGGTTGGCCAGGCAGAGAGGCAAGTGGTGTGTCTTCAGTGCTGGCAAGCCATCTGCCGGCAATGCTGAGGACTATAACCCTCTTATTGCCACAATACAGGGCATGATCGCCAAGGGATTGTAAGAGCGTGCATGATATGAAACAAGAACAAGACAATTCAATATTAAGAACGAACACAGGCATTCGATAAAAAAAGGAAAATGAACCGGAAAATGAACCGGCTATGCATCCTTATAATAACTTGTGAGAAAAATACAAGGTTGTGGATTTCAAATTCAAACATCTTAAAAAATTCAAATAACACCACTTAAATCTTTTGGTTCAATATAGGCCTTGATGATCGCTTCAATTTTTCTTGCGATTTATGAAAAACTAAAATTATCATTAAATGCAATTTTCTGTATCAAGTAAAACAATAAATATCAATAAAAGGAATGCCCCAAAATATTCGATGTGAATTAAAATAAATAAAATTCCCTCTGCTAAACTATAATTTTACTTTTATACCCTTGAAAAAAGTTACAGATTTTAATACTATATTACGGTACATTGAAATAAAATCAGAAGAAAGAAAAGCAATAATTAATCCAAAACGTGTTCCTTTTAAAAGGAATATACAACATTTGCTTTTGGCAGCGGCGGCGGAACGGGTTTGAAACTGGGGGGGGGGGGGGGGGGGGCATCACCAAAAAGGGGCACTTGCAAACCCGTGCTGAAATGTCGACAAGTTTTTCAACCGGACACTTTGCCTCCGTGAAATCAAATAGTGGGGGGGGGGGGGGGGCTTGGTTTTCATATTCCACGTTTATATCAAAAAATATCTATACCATTATTGGGATATGGTTACTTCTAAGAAATAGTAAGATACTTTAAGGGCATTTTTGTTGTATCTTGAGGGGACACTTTACTGTTCGAGGGGGCACAATTATGGCCGCAAAAGGGGCACTAAAATCTGGGGGGGGGGAGCAAATTCCCCCCCCCCCCGGTTCCGCCGCCCCTGGCTTTTGGATAGATTTGGGGGTTAACAACAATTGTTACACTGACTTGTTTCAAGTTTTGTGTTTGTAGATGCTGGAAAAAAATTGTTTTACTGTAGTGAGTGTAGTCTGGTTCCCTGACCTAAGTTAAGACAATACGGAGCAATCTAGCTGGCTTGTACCCGTTCCTGGATCGTAGGTGTGTTATCGATTGCAAAGTAAAATGCGGACTATAAACTAATATGGTAAATTGGAGGCAGTATTTGAAGAAACGTGTTTTTTTCAAATGCTGGACGGCCGACCATCGTTGGAAATTGATACAAAAATGCCACCTTTTTTTAAACGACAGCACGCCATATGCTATGATTTTACAAGATGCTTTAGACTGTTATTTACTCACAGTCCATTAAGGTATTCCATGATATTCTGGTAGTTTTGTTTTATGATGTTTGAAAATGTTGTACGTTACGCAGTTTGAAATGTGCAAATAAAATATGAAACTAAGAAAGTATTTGAACGTCGTTGTGGTCAGTATCTGACCGACAGTAGGAGATTTTCCAAACTAAAGAAAAGTGGAAATGACAAGGTAAGGGTCCAATACGGATCGGTTGAGTGTGAAGGATGCAACATAAAAGTTTGATTTGCATCTTCAAGCGATTGAAATTAAGTGATGCTGACAGCTACAGGGACATTGATTACAGCTGGGCAGCGTTTTAGAGGAAATGCACGAGATATAATTTGGTTTAGGAGCGTAGTGAGGTCATTTTTTTTTCTAGGGGGGGGGGGTTGTTTAAACATTTCTTGAAAAGGGAACTTGCACATCCGTGCTGAAATGTAGACACCTTTTTTTTCTCCGGACACTTGGCCTCCGTAAAATCATATTGTGTGTGAGTTTGTTTCTGCATTCAATAGAGGACGTTGAACAATACAGGACAATAGGGTCCCCAATTCCCGAAGGTCCCCGATTCGGATTCGTGTACCAAACATTATTTGGAGGTACAAACAAAAGAGGGATACTAGGGGGTCCCCGATTGCATGCAAACACACACTGGTGTGTGTGTGCATTTGTTTCTGCATTCAATAGGGGACGTTGAATAGTAGAGGACAATAGGGTCCACAATTTTTGAGAGGTCCCTAATTTGCCTACGTGAACAAAACATTATGGGTGGTTTTCCTAAAAGTTAAGAGGGACATACATAGTGGAATTTGTATCCTTGTGAAGACATTTCTTTGCTCTCGTGTAGTAAAGTTTTCGAGTTTAAAAGTGTTTTTTCAAAATGCTCTTATTTTATTCGGACTCAATATCCCCTTTCTAAAACTCCATTTGCGACGGATCAACGTGCCTTAAAAGTCCTAGTTTGTGAGTAAATTCCATATCTATTTCGTGATAACCTTGTGGAGACGTATTCATCTATAGAAATTGCCCTGTGGAGACGTATATAATCTTTTATTCCCTATTGTGTGCATGTCTCCTGAGGGCACGGTGTATCAGATCAATATAGGGGCACTTGCAACGGCCGCTGCCACAAAAAGTGCGCGCCTTTTTTGTAAAAAAGTGGCACTTGTTTGGGAAAAGGGCACTCGTTCATAACAAGTGGGGCACTCGTTCAAAATATTAGGGGGGGGTAAACGCTGGTGTAAAAAGGACACATGAATGGAAATTATTGCCCCCCCCCCTTTCCCCGCTAGCCATGCCACTGTGTATAGAGACTGAGTATATACAGTATATCCCTAAATAGTTTTGTCTTATTATTTTTTAAAAATAACTACAAAACCAAGAAGTAAATTTTAACATTTTGTAATTGCGCAGATGCTCCCTCACAATTCACTGCACAATGTTTAATTGATCACAGCGACATTTTGGACACTGTAACCAAGTTAGTTGTCAAACTCAATTCCACATCTGTGTTATGTAAGCTGTGCAAAATCCCACCTAATGTGAAATAAAAGCAGATGTGGTTGTATTGAGAATTGGAATCATTTGCCCATGAGCAGTTAACTGAGGTCTTGCCATGATAATTGATAGCTAGCCAGCCAAAATGATTCCAATCCTAACCGCATTTTCACAATATGAGAATTTCACAATATGAGAATTTTTAACAGCTTACAGCAGTAAAACTCATTTAGGTAGGGATGGAACTTGGTCACAGTGTCCAAAATGTCGCTGTGATCAATTGACCATTGTGCAGTGAGGCGTGAGGGTAATTAATTTAACTCAAAAGGGTATTGGCCAAGGATAATAAAGGGTATAGGCCTATGCAGAATTTCAAACAAAATAAAGGTGACGTCTGATAAGAGGTGAGCATAACACAGCAAACACAACAACTTATATATAAGTTGTTGAATTTGCTGTCTATATGCTCACCTCTTATCAGACGTCACCTGCTCCGGAGCTGTCCACAGGTCAGTTTAAAGGCCAAAACCTGAAAACGACGGTTATCGGTCGGCAATCATGCACGATTTTCTCTACACAACCTTTGATGAAAATTCAAGATCCCCTGTTATGTTCCGTGTACATCGACGAACAATGCCCAACCGCAAAATTATTTTTAACAAATAGGGAATTCCCAGACTATTAGAAAATAACAAGTAGTGCACGCTTACTGAGCGTGACAACCGACCGCGTATATTTTGTGCACTTTTATTAGTACTACAATTTTGTGCGCATTGGATATTGTATCTTGTAATTGAACATGACAAAAAAATTAAGGGGCGGGTCTACGAATCCTACTGGCTGCTTTGTAATGAAGGACTGGTCATATGCACGTCGCGTCGAGAGAAAAAAAGAATAGCTAATCAGCCTGCTGCCCCTCCCACCGGAAGTTTACCAGATATAAATGCGGAACCGGGAGCCAGCTCACCTCTAGTTGTTAGCTGAAGCTTGGATCGCTTGTGGAGTCATGCGAAGAGCCAGCGTGACGGTAACAATGTTGGATCTTAAGGACCTGCCGTCCAATCGTAACGGAAACGCGATGGACACCAAACGAGCTGTGAAGTGCCAACCATGGAACCCTAAGCTGTAACTACAGATGTGATGTCAGGTTGAGGTACTGGTATTCCTGCCCACTCAACCGCTTCGCCGTGTGACCAGCAAGGGATTCACAGTCACTGTAAACGTTTACCAGATCTAGTCGGCCATTCCTTAATCAAGGTAAGCGCCCGAGGCTTGTTGTACGTGCCTTGACCCATCAAAATGTCAATTTCTTCTATTAAAAAATGCTTCATATAGCCTTACAAGTTTCAGATAGAAATATTAGAATCTTTTAGACATTAATGAGTGAAGTTATTAGTCAGGCCTAAAACTAGCTTTACTTCGAAGATCGATTTTGATATTTCTTCTTTTACTTTGCATTCAACAGATGACCCAAGTGCTACATCATTAGAAAAATATCACGATTTCGCCTTTGAATAATAATAATAATAATAAACCGTGCTTATAAAGCGCATTTCATTCTTTTGAGGTGGACCACATTTTAAGAAAGTGGGGGTGGAGCAAAAGGCACAGGCAAACAAAGCTAGCTTTCACGGGCACTTTCGGTGCGTTTTTTTATTTTATCCAATATAGGCCTATGTGAATGTTGGTAGGTAGAATGTTTACATGTCAAATAAGAAGTTCATGTTCCTCTTTTGGGGGTACGTTCCAAAACAAATTCCTTAAAGAGGGTACATCTAGCATATGAGCAAAAAACAATACATGTAGCCCTAATCTATTTTGGATTTTTGGAGACGTTACGTAAGGCCAAAAAAAAGTCTCCGGTTTCTGGTATGCGCGCGCGTCGCCGTTGCCATGCGCGTCGGCAAAATGAAAAAGTTTTTTTTTTTCAATGAAAGATGATGTCTCAAAATCGCCCAACTCACTGGTTTGACTTGAATCCTGCTGCTGCACAATTTTAACGTGTTTTAGAGGGGGTTATGATCGAGAATAAGCTTTATGTGGTCTCTCTGGACTCCCATATATTCGCACTAAGTTTAGTCGGGCACCATTCCATTTGCAGTCATCAGCCGACATTTGAAGCAAAACAATCAGGTAAAAAAAAAAAAAGCCGCGTCTCCGCACCACTTTTTGGGCAAGCTCAATACCAGAAACCGGAGACTTTTTTTTGGCCTAAACAAACATTGAAAGCTCGCTAATATTTGTATGAAATTTTGCCTGGTGTATTGTTTAG